CCCCCCCCCCCAAAAAAAGAAAGTAAACTGCACACCTGAAGTGTCAGAGAAACCAAAAAGACACTATTTCAGACAAGGTGGTGCCACTCATGCCAAATGCTGCTGCAAACGCTTAGTACGATGAGACCGAGATGTGTCTATTAGATTTAGTCACAAGAAGTTATAGGTGACCTCTGCCAAAGAAGTCTGCATAATGTAGTGAGGACAGAAACCAGATTGTAGAGTATCTCCGAGTGAATGTGAGGTGGGTATAGGTGACTCTTGAGGAACCAGGCTGAGAATAGGGACCGGAGAGTACACAGTAGCTGCAAAGAAATGTGGGGATGGAGAAGTGATTCTGTTTTCTAGTTTTCTTGGAAAATCCAAGAATCTAACACGACAAGCCTGCATTTCCCCATGGCAGCGGGGGCTACAGGGATGTGATCGTCACCTTTAAATGTGACAGTGAGCTTTCCAATTCACCATTTTCTCATCAGCTCACGTCCTTTATTTAATTTGCCTCCTTGTCCTCTAGATATTTGCCATTCCCCCATTCTAGAACACGTCTGATGGAAGGATTCAGCAGAGAAAGGCTGAAACTGCTGACCACACTGCTGGACTACTTTTTCACTCTATTCCTGTCGCACTCCTAGCCTGACTTATCTCCTGCTTCAAATCTCTTCCTCATATCCCTCAACCCTTCAAAGAGTCCCAGTGCCTCAGATAATACACCAAATCCCACCACCTTATCTCAATTAATTCTCTACAACAATGGTTCTTACCTGGGGGAGAAAGAGTTGGTTTTGCCCTCCCAGGAACATTTGGCAATCTTTAGAATATTTCTGTCACAAAAGTGATGAGGGGAGCCCTACTGGCATCTCATGAGGAGCAGCCAAAAATGCTGCTAAACTTTCCACAATACCCAGGACAGCTCCCCAACAACCACTTTGCCCAAGAGGTCAACAAATGCTACGACTGGGGAACTCTGCTCTAAAACACAAGCCTGGGATTGGCATTCGCTGAGCACTGTCAGGGGAGGGAGGGCACATAACACAAAGGGTACTTGGTCCAAAGCAGGCAAAGTGAGGGTCAGCTGGAGGCCCAAACCTCACCTGCATGCAGCCTACTTGTGTAGTTAATTCTTACTTGAACCCACATTTCTATAATAAAATAAAATAAAATAAAATAACAAAACACGAGCTCCATGAAAACAGGAGCCTGGTCAGTCTTGTTCACTGCTAGGGTCTAGTACAATGTCTGGTAAGAGCTCAATAAATACTCTTCCAAGAGTAAATCTAGCCCCTGCCTATTTCACCTTTTTACTTTCCACACATCTTAGGCTCCAGTCATAGGAACAGAGGGCTTGCACTTTCTCACGTGGGCCATAATCTCGTAATTCTGCACCTCTATTTGCTGGTGCTTCTCCATTTTCCCTGCTAAATCCAGCACATCACATGCCCAGCTCCCACAGACCCCTGTCCTTCAACCCCACTAAAATACTAAGGCACAACTCTCACCCCAGCACGTCCCCCTGTAGTCTGATTTTCCAACCATCCTGAGCAATGCTTGGCAAAGCAGCTACGGTGCTAAATCAAGGCAAGTGTTTGCTTGGCCTGGCATACGCTTATTCTTAGGACTATTGAGTAACCGAATGGTTGAAACAGTGCTGGCATTCGCTGGTGGCTCTGGACCCCATCTCCGACCTAACAGTTGCGAAGGATCATGCTACCTACCAGGGTCCTGAGACATGCGAGTCTGCGACTCCTCCGCGACGTTCTCAGGCCAAGGGGTGCCCGAGCGCCACGCAGGTAGGGAACTAGATACCCAGGGAGTCGTACCTGGACCTCGTCGTCCTTGCGGATGGACATGGAGCGGACATTGTACTTCTGCCGCAGCTCCTTGGAGAGCGGGGACGACATGATCTTCCTGCGCACGTGCGAGGGGGCATTGAAGTGACGTTTGCGGTTTTTGCTGCGGTCAGAGGTCACGAAGGGATTGAACTTCATAGTGACCGTCTACCAAGAGCGGAGAAAGAAGGAACGAAGGGGCGCTCAGTGGGGATACAGGGGCCGCCCTCTCCTCGATCCAAGACTCTCCTCCTCATCCCCGCGAAAGGACCCAACAAGGACAAAGGGGTTCGCAAAAGGCGACTAAGGCAGGAGGATTGGGGGAATGCGAGTTGTCAGAGGGTTACACAGAGTAAGACGTGCATGCAGGAAGTCACATGTCTGATCAAAGGGGTCGTGGGGAGGGCGGCACTGGGACCTTGAGGCTGACCGAGGAGGGAGTGTCCGGGTTAAAGAAGAATTAGTGGCTGAGAGAGTCACGCAGAGGGAGTTCTGGGGTGGCGCATGGACCCGCGACACATGGAAGGATCCCACGAGGTAGTTGTGCTTCAGAGTCCGAGAAAACGCAAGCCGCTACTTACCTACCCGGCTCCGGAAGAGCTCAGCTCCAGAGCACACAGGACCGGAAGTGAAGTTTCTCGCCGCGCAAGCGCAAAAAGATACCAGTGCCCTTTTCCCGTCGGAGCTAATCAGAACGATGCCCCCTACGGCTTGGAGTGGCATTGCAGCGCCTCATTCCTAAGGGCCGCGGGAACGCGACGCGGCTTCTTGCTGGGAACCCAGAAGAATTGGAGCCTTTGGGGACAAGGGACTACATTTGCAGGTCCTGCAGTAGAGGCTTATTGCTGTCCTTTGATAAGCACGTCGTCAGCAGTCTCTCGCCTACCCTAGACTTTTTCTTTGCTCCCGTTGTCTTCTGCAGAGGAGACCACTGAGGTCGTCTAGGCATATAGATTGTCTCGGTACTTTAACATAGTGATGCTCCAAATGCCATCTGCGGAACGGCTTCTTCAAAATCAGCGAGAGGCCTGTTCAAATGCAAGTTTTCGGGTCCTACCACAGTCCTGCAAAACCAGACAATGGCAGGTCGGGGTCAAATATGAATCAAAGCAAATCTGAATTTAAGTCGCATGCACCTCCCAAGATTTTGAGGCACACCAATGATTGAGGATGGTTGTGAACCAAACACCTGGCTTTGCAAACTTCCCCCCAATTATTTAGCCCTGTTTGAAAAGTCTGGGGTTGACCTAAGTGCCACTTCGTATTGCTGGTCTCCCACTCTCCACATATCTCTTTTTATTTTTTTCAATTTTTTAAAATAAAAATTTTATGATTATATTTTCTTTTCTCCCCAGCAGAACCACGTTTGAGTTTTAGTTTAATCATCTGTAAAATGGGGATGCTCTCAGTAGAAGTCTCAAAGAGTTGTTTGAGAATTAAATGAGTCAATCCCTTTAGAGCGTTTAGAGCAGTGCCTGGCACACAGCGCTCAATTGCAGCCTAATAAGAGGGGAGGCCTATGGGTGGGGCTTGCTCCGGGACAGTCCTAAAGCCGGCCTCACATCTACCGGGAGTCCTGGAGTCCTCGCATCCAGATTTTACCACCAATTCGCAGTGACACAAACTGTAAACTTTCTGTGTTTGCTGTAAACAGCGCAAGACGCCAAGCTGCCTGGAGCTGGGGGTGAGCGACATCTACCTTATTTATTTATGTTTTGAATCTGGGTCTCACTCTGTCACCCAAGCTGGAGTGCAGTGGCACAGCTCACCGTAGACTCAGCCTCGATCTTCTGGGCTCAGGCGATCCTTCTATCTCAGTCTCCCCCGTAGCTAGGTACATTTTTGTAGAGACGAGGCCTCGCTATTTTGCCCAGACTGGTCTCGAACTCCTGGCCTCAAGCGATCCTCCCTCCTCGGCCGCCCAAAGAGCTGCGATCACAGGCGTGAGCCCCCGCACCTGGCTTCTGTCTTTTAAAATTCTCCCCGGGACGCCGCGGTCCCAAGCAGCGGGCGAGCTTGCAGCAGCAGCCCCGCGCCCTCGTCCAGACCCCGCCCCCTCCCCCAGCCA